TGTGAAGCTGCATCATAACTTCATTTACTGTTTTAGAATAATTTAGAAAAAAAGATCTGATTTCCTCCAATCATTCATGTCTGATTTAAACTTTTTTGGATTTTATTTGAACATAAAGGCACAAGCTTCCAATGCATTTTAACATCATAAACTTTTACTGAAAGTAAACATGAAAACCAAGAAACAAGAAGTTGCCACCAAGCATGCTATGTTGAAGAAAAACTATACAGAGGAAGATCCAAAAAAAGTTAAAAACCAATCCACTTGACATTTTTTTTTTTTTTTTTTGGAATTTCTATGACCCGGATGACTGAGAATCTTCCCCAGCATATAGAGAGGAAAGAGAAATTGAGATTAATAAAGACAGAATAGGTTTAGGTTTTGAACCAGGTTTAAAAGTTTACATGGAAAAATATGAGGAATTATAAAGATAACAGAGTAAAAACAAAGTTATCTCTTCATGGTTAACAGGATAAATGTAACTTGTACAAAAACTGATCCAATCGAAAGAGCCATAAAATAGGAAAGAAGATGAATTTCATGAATATATAAACAAAAAAAAAGGAAAATAATTTTTTTCCCCCTACGTAGCCAAATAGAGTAAATGCAGCAGTGTTCATCATTATCTCTGACTGCTGCATTTCTTCAATGTACAGCTTTGATAATTAGGTAGGTTTTTTTAGTTCTGTGTTTCACCACAGAGGGCAGGCTGAAGGAAGTGGTTGAAACTTTATCAGACAGAAAAAGCTCACACTGTCTGTCAGCTATAGCAGTATTAAATAACAGAAAATGTATAAACTGTTTTAAAATAAGTGGGAGGATATCTCACATACTCACACACACATATGTATCATATGAAGTGGAAACTAAACATTTAAATAAACAGGAAGAACATTTATAAAGTTATAATTAAATACCTTCATCCACAGGTTGGGTTTATAAGTGCCTTAATCAACATGTTGGATTTTTTTCAGTTCAAATTTTATTGAACAATTCTTGACTAAGGTTTTGATGTTTTAAACCTCCATATATTCACAATATAC